ATTGCTACTCCCACTACTGCTCCTGAGGGGGTCTATCTGTTCTGAATTCCGTGTGTCCAGAGCTCTTATCTGTATCAATGTCTGTACTCCGCTCTAGCCAGATGTGTAAGGTAGAACTGGGTCAAGGGCTGTAACTCTTTATGGGAGTAGAAACCCCATCTTTCTCCCAAGAAGTGGCTAGTAGTTTTGAACTGCCGACCTTGTGGTTAGCAGCCAAAGCCTAACCAGTGTCACCAGAGCTCCTAATATAGTCTAATAGAATTTCTTTCTTTTGAGGGATGGAGGAGTACATTTTTTTCATTTAAAAAGTTAATTGAACTGAATTGGGAGAGAAAAAAAAAGTTGACCTACTAGTAGTATTGCAGATTATTTTGGAACAAAATAGACCATGTGCTTTGTGTCTTACTCCCTTAAAAAAGAATCTGCTTTGTGAACTCAAATCCTAGAGTCGGTCTGCCCACAGTTGACCGGCTATGTGACTTGCTGTTCTCAGCGTGCTGCGGTCAGCTCCTGTTCAAGACCACCTCGGATATAAGTCCACAAACCGGGCTGGCCCGAGCCATCGGTCTGGATCCATGGTGTCTGCCTCTGGGTTTCTGAGTGTCTTCCAATCAAGGAACCACGATGTCCCAAGGCGTTTTGTTGTTGGTTTTTCATATGACTTTAAAAATAACTTATCTTGTTGCTGTTGAGCGTGTACTCAGACCACACAAGCATGTGACCAGCCTGTCAGTGCGGCTCAGTGATAAGAACGGGGCTCGTCGGGGTGCGCAGTCAGAAGCCTGGGTCTCACATCTAATTTGAAAATCTCTGCTCGTCCCCCTGGGGCAGTATCTCCTCTCCGCATGTGACAGCTCAAAGTTCTTTCCTGTCACCGTTGATGACGTAGGATGTCATTAGAAGCGCTGAAAAATAGACCTTCCTGGAGTCCGGGGCGTCCATCACAGGAGCAGGGAACACACTGGATGACCATTCCTGCTGTTTACCTCACTGGGCGAACTGGAAGGGGAGATGAGAGAAATACACGGGGACGCCTCCTCTGTGGAGCATGATGACTGGGGTACCAGGAACGTTTTGTCCCGTCTGCAGCCTGTTGCAAACATGTCTCTGGGCTCATTGTGAAGCGGACTCTGTGAGGGGGGTCCAAGGGAACTTCAGTCCGGAAGGGCTCGGCTGAAGGCACCGTCGTTCAGAATGCTCCCTTTCAGTAGACTGCTCTTTGTCAATGGGGTGCCACCACCCCTAGGAGGCACAGGAATAATGGGGTGGGGGTGAGGGTGCTGCGAAAGCAGGTACCAATGCTTCATCGGTAGGGCTTCATATGGGCTACCTAATAGCACAAAAGTTTTTACCATTTCCCCGAAAGTAAGAGATCCCCTGAAAATAAGACCTACTTACAGTTTTGCCTCTTGCTGAAAGATAAGGCATCCCCCCAAAAATAAGGGTTTGGATTGTTATGATGATGTTCCAAAAGATGATGACATGACTGTCATTGAATAAATGAGTAAATATACCACAGATTGTTGTACATGGAAATAATGATAGTAACAAGAAATTCTTGATACTATAAGATTCACAGTTTGTCTGGTTATGCTGGTTTGTGATGACAACTACTACCGTATCATATACAGGTAATACATTTCTTTTTTTGTTGTTCAACAATAAATGTGTACCGTATTCTTCTTCATGGAAAAATCAGACATTCCCTGAAAATAAGACCTAGCGCATCTTTGGGAGCAAATATTAATATAAGACACTATCTTATTTTCGGGGAAACAGGGTAGTTGCCAGGGGGCCCTGAGTCTTTTCTTTCCTGAAAAAGGCACGGTGGGCCAACTGAGTCTGGGAACCTCTTCAACCGCCCATCCCAGCTCTGTGATTCTTCATCACTGACCGGGGGCCCTGGGGGCACAGTGGTCACGAGGTCGGCAGCTCACAAGGTTGGCAGTTCGAAACCACCCGCTGCTCCGAGGAAGAAAGGTGCGGCTTTCTACTCCCATAAAGAGCTACAGTCTCAGAAACTCACGGGGGAGGGGGCAGTGCCACCCATCCTGTAGGGTCGCTATGAGTCAGCGTCAACTCAATGGCAGCAAGGCCTTCCTTCTTTCTATCAGCAGGGTAGCTTCATTCCTCTTCTTCTTGATCTAAAATCTTGATTGTCACTGGGTAAAAGTTCACAGGGCACATTCGTTTCACAGCGCCCTTCCCGACACTCCCTAGTGGCCAGCAGTGCCTTTGGTCAGCAGGCACTCAGGCGAGGCTCTGGGGCTGCAGAGAACCGTCAGCCTTCTGCCGGCAGGGCAGGAAGTGCTGTCTTTCAGAATTTACCCAACTTCACACCTGGAAGGTTCCACACCATCCAATGAAGCCCAAGCCGGCTTCAGGTTCCTGCCAAGTGGAAAGAGTAGCCCAGGGCCTTCCCACTCCCGCTTCAAGTCCCTGCACCAGCTCTCGGGAGCAGGGAAAGGCAGCTGGCAGGGAGGGAACTGTGTCTCCCCAGGGGACTGCCTGCTGGTGAGATAAGCTTCTGGATGCTCTAGA